GGCGCCTACAAACCTAACAGGGATACTTCACGCATTGCGCAACGCGTGAAGTATCCCTGTTAGGTTTGTAGGCGCCAATGCGTGTTTCGCGCTGGCTGCCCGCCTGCCACGGCGCTTGAAGCAACTATTTCACACCAGAGGTATTGCACAGTATCATACGAAACTGAAGGCGCTCTAATATATTAGGAATGCATATTTTAGGCATCCATCAAAAGTACGGAGCTTTCCTCGCAAAATAAATCAAGATACTACGGCCCAAAAAGCAGAGCAGTGGTCCAAAAAAAAACTCACTAAGTCCTAGCATCCGTAATTACTAACGTTTAGCATACACTTTATCGCCTGGCTGTGAGTTGCTTACTCGCCATCGGCTATTAAAGGCTATAAGAAATTGTGTAGCCGGCTAGAAGCCATTGGAAACCTTACAGCCGGCCGTAGGTCTATGGTATTTTGGAACACAGATTCTACCGCCAATTTTTACAAGGGAAAGTATCAAAACCAATGCATTTAAAAACGAGCTAATTTGATCCGACTTGAGACCTAGCGCAAAAAAAGTCTCGGGTTAATTTGATTTTTTATTATTTCCAAAACTTTTTTCCTTTTTACCGAGAAATAGTACCTACCGTCATACTTTGGATTTCAAATCATCATAACACTGATGTCACACGTGTAATCCTTTACCCTGAAAAAAAAAAAAAGTTTCCATTTAATGTTACTCTAATGGGACCGCACTAAGTAGAATGGAACCAAGCCACATCGGCTATTGCCAAATTAGATTGGGTAATTGGATTTCTTTCCATGAAAACGGCTGTGCGGATTTTTGTGCGAACGATGAATTTTCTGTATGGTGCAAAGCAAATTTCTAAATATTTTCAAAGTAATTCGCACCAAAGTTCTCTTCTAAAAATTAAATTGTTAAGTTAAATTTGGTAAAGGTTAATCGATGGTGAAAGTGCAGAAGTGCCTATCTCGGAAAACACGATTTTCCAGGAGAGTGAAAAAACTGTCTACATTCCTCTTTATTGTTAGTTGAAGGGTAATAATTCTTGAGAATAGCAAGAATAAGATGTTTTTTCAGACTCCATCAGAATTTTGAATAATTTCTCGAACCGTTAGAAAATTCGGCAGAAATGCCGAGATTCGCGTTTTCGGCACTAAGAATTGACACTTCATCATGAGATACGCATTTTTGCAAGTAGTGTTTTAAACCTGTTGGCGGATTTGTATCATTTAAAGACTGGAAAGAGAGTTTCGCGCTTACAATTCCTTGTTAAATAAGATTTAGTTTGATCTCATATGGCCAGATCAAGCATTGTATGATTGGAAAATGACATTTGATCACGAGATACGTATTTCTGCAATTATTAGCGTTTTGAACCTATTCCTGATCATTAAGATAAAAAATAGAGTTTATTCATACTTAAAACTTGATTATAGAAGCTTCAGTTGATCCAATACCGTGAGTCAACAATAAGTGAATCAGAGATTTGGCTTCCTTGAGTAACTTTTACAACATGGGTAGGTAAGAAGACAGTGCGGGATCCCTAAAATATATCGTCTCCTCTTGGACCCTCAAAAAATTATATATAGGTAAAACTTTTTTTTCTATTTTTCCTCCAACACTTTGGCATATATACCGTTAAAAACCTACAGCCATTTATATTTATACGTTATATATATCGTGCTCGTAGAGACCCGAAGGACATCCATGCTCCATCCATCCACGCTTTACGCCTTTCAAATGGACCAGTGGACAAAGTACCTTTACCTCAATTTTGATTATTCACGATTCATCGACGAAAGCTCATTTTTTCCGCGTGCAACTTATTTAATTCACAACCGCTTTTGAGTAAGATGCGATCTTGTAAACGGCGACTCTCTCAGTTATGCATGAGAACACGATGACCAACGCAAGAGGACTTAAAAACCACAATCTAAACCGAGTGTTTGGTCTCTCTTTTTTGAATTAAGACTTACACACAAAGAAAAATCTTATTACTTCATAATCAAAATATCGGGCTTTTTCAAAAGTACAGCTCGATTGAAGACTCCAAAATTATGAACATTTTTGGTCAACACCATTGTACAGGGGCACTCTCATAGGATACAGAAAAACGCCTTCAACCCTTTCCGTAATCTCAATGCAAAATTCTGATACCACTATTCGTGCGACACGACAGTCATTTTGCATAGCCGGCTAATTGAAGGCAAATCATTGACCCAGGCAACAGGGTACGAATTTCAGCAATGTGATACGTACTTTTCAGGGAGCAAAACCTCCGGAGATGCCCCAATTGCCCCACCTGACATCCAAGCAACCCAACCCTCGGAAGTGCCCCCCTGGCATCCAGGAAGTCCAACCCCCAAGGGCTGCCCCCTTGGCATTAAGGAGCCCAACCCTAGGGCGGCCATTTGGCATCCAAGATGTCCAACCCCCAGAGGCGGCCCCCTTTGACATCCAAGGAGCCCAACCCCCCGCGGCTACCCCACCTGACATACAAGCTGACCAACCCTTGAGGCTGCCCCCCTGGCGTCCAAGAAGTTCCAGGGGCTGCCCCCCTGGCATCCAAGAAATCCAACCCCCTCGGGGCTGCCTCTCCTGGCGTCCAAGAAGTTCCAGGGGCTGCCCCCTTGGCATTCAAGAGCCCAATCCTTCGGGGGCCACCGCCACCCCACCTTACATCCAAGCAACCCATCCCTCGGGGATGCTCCCCCCCCCCCANCCCCCGACGTCAAAGGAACCCAACCCCCGCGGATGCCACCCTAGGCCTAGGCCTAGAGTCTCGTCTATCTCCGCCACACTAGAAGTAGCCGCTAGGGTGCGGCTCATATCAGATGGGCATGGTCCAATGCCATGAAGGGAAAGGAAAATACTTTTGGGTACAGCGCGCCGGATCAAACGAAGGCGCCAGAACGAGGTACGCATTTCCGTACATAAGCCCAAGATACAAGAAAAAAGTTCTACTGCCCTGGTAAAAATTGGCAGTAGAATCTGTGTTCCAAAATACCACAGACCTACAGCCAGCTGTAAGATTTCCAATAGCTTATAGCCGGCTACACAATTTCTTACAGCCTTTTATAGCCGATGGCGATTAAACAGTGGCCAAGTGATAAAGTGTATGCTAAACGTTACTAATTACGGATGCTAGGACTTAGTGAGTTTTTGGACCACTGCTCTCTTTTTTGGCCGTAGTATCTTGATTTATTTTGCGAGGAAAGCTCCGTACTTTTGATGGATGCCTAAAATATGCATTCCTAATATATTAGAGCGCCTTCAGTTTCGTATGATACTGTGTAATACCTCTGGTGTGAAATAGTTGCTTCAAGCGCCGTGGCACGCTGCGGTGCGGCAAGCGAGCAGCTAGCGCGGAACACGCATTGGCGCCTACAAACCTAACAGGGATACTTCACGCGTTGCGCAATGCGTGAAGTATCCCTGTTAGGTTTGTAGGCGCCGCCGCGCCGTCCAATTATAACTTGATTTTTAGCCATTATTCACTCAGCGCTACAAGACCATTGTGCGCAGCATGTCCGACTAGTTTCACCATTCCGCACATAGAGGCCGCTACGTGTATGTCAACAACAGCGAGCATTGGCAAGTTAAGGTTATGTTTTCTTGTTTACCGTGAAAATTCATAACTGTGCATGTCAAAACTATTTGGTCTTTCGTTATTTAAAGCAAAGAAATTTTGTGTTTCTCAAACTTTATCGCACTCATCATCATAATTTTACATTACAAGTTGGCCTCTCTTTGGAACAATTCTACCATTCGTTTTCCTAACTTTTCCAATTGTGTTATTCTGAAGACAGAAGTTTTGTAGTATATTTTGGACTTCTATGTCTATTTCAGTGGTTAAAATTAAACTATAAATATGGGTGAAAGTTACTACACCATTCTTGGAGTCTCCGAAAATTCAAGTCTAGAAGAAATCAAGAAGCAATATCAAAATTTGGCCCTTCAGTATCATCCAGACAAACTCAGTGCTGATCAAGAAAACGACCCTGCTGTGAAGGAAAAGTTTTTAAGAATTACGGAAGCATGGGAGACATTACGAGATCCTGGAAAGAGGAGAGTTTATGACTCCATTTTGTTAGAAAATGCTCTTGATGATAACAGTCTCAAGTTTGATTCCGTCAGTTACCATAGTTTAAACTTCGTAGACAGTTCTCATTCCACTAAATGTAAATGCGGTGGCACCTATGATGTACAGAGAGATGATTTAGATTTCAGTAGCTCATCATGTTTGTACATACCTTGTTCATCATGCTCTCTCTTTATTGAAATCGTTAAAAAAAGTTCCTAGCACACACCAGTACATCGATTTCAGAATTAATGTGAGTATTGTCCGTTTGCTTTCCTATCTAATATTATATGCATGAAAGTTTTGGTGTATTCATGCAACAACACTTTGTTGGTTTATGGTCAGAATGATATGAAGTGATCAGTTTCTTGCATGTACATCTGCGGAACTTAGCTTCTAATTTATCTCTTCTACCAATATTAGTTGGCGATACTGAAGAAGGAAATTTTTTAATTTCATCACAACGTTTCAAAAGATCTACCTCAAAACTTATTTTTTCATACTGATTTTGACAACAACTATCCTTGCTAGGAAATCACACAAGGGTTCTTAAGAGTAATTTTTAATATTTATGTATATAATATGAATGTGACACAAATTCTTTGATGTAATAAAATGAGTTACATGTTTTATTTGTTTAGAAGTTCTTTTAAAAATTTATTAAATTTGGAAATTATCTAATAGACCACCAGACATGTTGCAAATTTAAGCTTTCTGATTCCATATGTTCCTTATCAATACTCAAGGTAAAACACAATTAATACAAAGAAAATAGCTGAAATTAACTGGTAATGAATAGGGATGGATAATTATCGTATTCGAACGTGATTATTCGAAATTTTTCGATTGAAATTAGTGGATTTATTTGAGATATTGAATCTTGTGATTTCGAATACTTCTAAGCGAACATTCGAATCTTTTTGATCATTGCTCTGATTTTTATTTTTTTGTAACATGCAACATAGTATTATTTTTAATAAAGATAAACGACACTTTTGACTAAGACAGGTCAGTTATTCCCATGCAGAGTGCAGTAATTACTGTTAACTTATTAACACTTGATGAAATGACTAGAATAAACAAAAGGCGAAACTTGCGTGAGCTAAGGCGGCACCCGCTCTCTTACCGATTGGACTTTTGCTGGGAAGATAATAGATAATGGCAGTTTTGCCAAATTTTTGAATATTAACCCAATAGTATTCGAATAATTTTACCAACATTCGATTTTGTTGCGATTATCTTGAATATTCGATCATTGAAATATTCGACCATCCCTACTAATGAAGATATTTATTGTTTTCTGTTGCGTTAATTCAAACCTTTCGCTCATGAAAAAACAAAAGTCAACAGGAGTCAAATTGAGGACCAAACGTCTTTGCAACAGTCTCTGTGGTATGAAAATACGGCAATCTCAATCTGGGTGCTTTGGCTCAGCTTTAGCACTTTCTTAACACTCCAAACAACACAAGCCAGGGATGGAACACTGATTGATTAAAAAATCTGCCAAGACCATTTAATATATGCTTTGATTCCAGTACTTACTTAGCCTGTAGTTTTTCTTGTGAGGGGGAAAATTCAGAATTCCCATATCCAATGTAAACCAATAAAGTTAATATCTCAGTTAGGAGTTGATTTTTGTAATTTTCATTCTGCGAATAATGTTTTATGTGAAATTTTGGTTAGGAAACATGTATTAGAATGCTTAAATATGTATCTTTTCTAGTGGTTTATTGGCACCACGATGAATGCTGCAATTTCCCATAGTAATCTATCATTATCCCAAGAGAATTCTATAAGCAAACCTAAGATGAAAAGATCTATCCTGAAAACCCTTCTGAATTATTTTATCTTCCTAGACATTTGAGGGCACATCTTCATTTTTGTATGAGCCACGGAAATCATTGAGTTATTAGGAGTGCAAGGCACCAATATAATTAGTTAGTCCATATAAACTTCCTTCTTAGCAACTGTACATACCTTTCTTATTTAATGAGTCAAGTTTCAAAACTCAAAATTGTCCAAGAGAATTCCTTTCTACAGCTATGTTGTATCGAAATTGAAAAAAAAAACGTTAATTTTTTTCAATATTTTTATGTGGTTAAAATCTCTATTTTAAGGATGGACTACAAGCTTTAAGTGTATGTGTTGGAGGAGGGGGGGGGCTGTTAGAATGATTCTCCTCCCTTTAGTGTATTTTCAGTCAGGATTTCTTTTTAAATGAAATTTACTTTATTTAACGAACTGAAAGTCAGAGTACCTCGATCCTCGATGGAATTGTCATATTGCATGAACATTTTCTAAAGGAGACCTCTCAGTTCAAAAACCTATTTTTTATTTTTTTTTATTTTTTTTGCAGAATTTTGAAATTTGGACTCACATTTAAAGAATACCAAGGTCCCTTTCTCACCAACAGAACTGCCCCCTTTCTACAAGTTCAAATGATCATTTAGAAAGCTTTTATTCTGCAAATAAACATTATCCAGAAGGTAAGTGAATGATTGAAATAAGTTTATTTCAGTGATTTAAAGGAACAGAAAATAGGATAAAATAGGACAATCGTCATTACAAACAAACAAAAAAAACACCCAAATTACAGACAAAGTTAGTTCAAGTAAAGTATAGTGTAAAATCTACACTTAACCTGCGTTACATAAATTTATAGCCATATAAAATTCAATTTTTGGATTTTCACCCTTTGAATAGCTCAGTGGCATAATGTTGCCATCTAGTCCTGATTTTATTTTGGTACCTCCTTATTTATTTTATTGTTAGGTGATTCTTTGCCACCTATCTCGAGAACACGCATCACTGTACACCCGCGCGCACATTTAAAATTCCCGCCGAATATAGTTTCTCATCTTTGCGATAGAGGCCGCGTTGGTAACACTTCCCTCTTCCCCCCCTCCCTTCTAAACTATTTGTGACCTTGCCATTGTTGTTGTTTTTCTCCCCCCTCCCCTCGTCATAAATCGGACTAAATTTCATTTTCACTCAATTCATTGACTGTAGTGAGTACGTATTCACTGATTAAAAATTCATCAGGAAAGAAATCTGACAGGTCTCACACTCAAAAACCAGAATCAGTTAGTTACTTACCCAGAGTCTTGCTGAAAGGTTCTCGTGGTCTACTTATCAGTGTCGTGTACTTAAAGAATCGTGAAATTTTTCTTTGTGGACTCTGATAGTAGGTAAAAGTGAAGTGACAATAAACACTGTGTGCTCTTCTTATGGTTTGAGTCTATTAGCTGTATGAATAAAAGGATAATTCACCTCAGTTTTGTTTGAATTGCCCGTTCTCCTGTCCGCTGCTATCAGGTATGTGCCTTAAAGTCACTGGTACTTATTGATCTTCTCTAGCTTATAATCAGCCCTGCTATAAAAGCTCAAAGTTAGAACTTAGTTCTCCAAATGGAGAACTTGAATTAAGTACCTACTTATTCTGTATTCAGCAGGCTGATTGTTGAAACTGTGTCAGCATGATAAGATAAGACGAAGTCCTGTTTGTTCCATCTAACGATTTGTCTTATGATGTATCATTCAAAGGGCGAAAATTTCCTGCCAATTGAACATGGACCGGTATTGCCATGTGAACTGTGTAAGCCGATACCAAGCATAAACTAGATAACCAAAAATTCTGCTTCACCATCGCAAGTTCTGTGCCATAGCAAGACTTATCTTCAAAATTTTGGATTTTGGTTTCGATTTTCTTGGCGTAAAATTGCTTGTGTACATGTATGTATGAGCCGCTTTTACGGCGCACTAGGGCGCTCTGCGACGCCTACTCTCCACAGGAATCTATCATGGTAGAGATCCTCCGGAAGCTGGCATCAAGCATGAACAGACAGCTAAATTTTGCTTGAGTACATTCCGTGAAAAAACAAGTTTTGGCTGTCCGAGAGCTCGCTCATTGTATACCGAAATCAATGTCATGCTCTGATCAGCTCTGAATCAGCACTGATCAACAGCTTAATACATGCTAACTGACAGTACCATTGGTGATAAGTAACTTGAACAAAACTAGATTTTTGTCTCAACACCCAATGACCGAGCTGTAATCACACCTGCCTTTCCTAATATAAAGAAGGACCCTGTGAACCTATGTTTTCTGTACTGCTTATCCCTGTTTTAATGACTGAAGTAGCCCTCATCTACCTAATCTCCTCATTATTGCTCAGCTATCGTTTCACCACCAACTTTCTGAAACCTGAGCATTTCCATACTTTGCATGAACTTCAATTGCTGTACTTACTAGGTATCAAATTTTTTCTGACCTCAAAATCTCAGCACCAAATGCCAGTGTCACTACAGCAAAGCCATGGTATGTTAAGATGAAAATCAAAAGTGACGGGCCCTAATTACGCATTATTACTCATCAGGTAAATGCAATGCTAGTGGGCCGTTAGACAAGATACCACGTAGTACATTTCCTCTTTAAAATTTCACAAGGAAGTGTACCCCACAACGGGAAGTCCGAAAGTCAACTCCTGTACAAGATATCAACAGTGTAAGTCAGCAATCACATATCTCGGTTTGCAACATTGCAGACTTCCTGTCGTACCTACTTTATTTTTTAAACGAAAACTACTCAACGGCAGTTCTTTTAAATTGCTGTGATTTTCTCTCTCTGTGCGAAGAAAATTCTGCAAAAATTTCAAGGAAGGATGTCAATTTGTTCCCCTTTAAACAAATACCATATGAGGCGGAGATTTTCAGACACCGCAAACGAGATTTGTGATTGCGGACCTACGCTGCCAATATAGGTGTTAACAATTTACATTGGTTGAATGGCAAAAATACAAATGCATCATTTGCATGATCTAACTTCCGTTTAATCTGTGTTCAAATTATTTGTTAATATCTCATTCAGAAGTTGATTTCCAAGCTTTCCAATGTGTGAATTGTTTTCCACATGCTATTTTGAAGAAATAGCATGTGACATTTTCTTTGAATTCAGGCCTTGTCCAGGTCACATGCGTGGTAAATCTGGCCAGGACTTACGCAGACAAACAGGCGAGTTTTTCTTTGACCTTTCTATTATTCATGGTTTTGAATACATACATTAGTTGCGAGTAGAACATGACTTAACGAGAGGTACGATTTATTCCTTGAACTGCTGTATTAAGTTAACCCAATAACACATTTTTTAAGAAAGTGTTAACGCAATGTTCAAAAGATAGGTATTTTGTTATAATTCATGGAGATGGAAGCATACCATAGATTATTTTAATTTTCTCTCACTCAAAGGAAACTCCTTTTTTTTTTTTTTTTTTTTTTTTTTTTTTTTTTTTTTTAATCTCTTAAACTTTTCTTTTTCTTTCTTTTTTTAAAAAAAAAAAATCTTTCAAATTTGGAAAAATCGTTTGTAAGCGTGTAAGTGAAATAATTTTTTCTTTAAATCATACAAAAAATTGAGCCTATGAAGTGATAAGTTTTTTAAATTGGGAAAAACGTTCTTAAACTATTTTTTGTGTGTTTCTTGCCGGGCTGATTAACATGTGGATCGCCCCCCCCCCTCCCCACTACCACCACCCAACAACAGTAACATTTCAGTCCTAATTTTTACATCTTTTTTCCGTTCTGCTCCGGCAGTCGCACAAGTCGACCGACAACGTGGAACCTGGTTATTCGTTCTGCTTTGAGGTTTGGATAGAGAGAGGGAAACCGGTTTCTGCGCGGATCCACATGACGTCACGCAGCTCGCCGCGATTGAGACCACATTTTTTCGGATAGGTACTTTAGATGCCTATTATTAATCACGGGGGAATATCGTATCATATCGTGGGTGCTCATTGCGGCTTGCTACTCTGCCGTGCTTCGGAGGAACGCCGTATGAACATTGGAGAGTTGCCAAATTTCCTCGAGTAAAACATGTACTTTCGGAGAAAGTTATGCGTAGTTTTCCTTCAAATTTTCAGATATTTTAGATTAAATCAGGAACAAAATTTTCTGAAAAATTGAAAGAAAAATATTCAGAATTTTCCCAGTAAATTTGTTGGTTATTAAAGGAAATATGGCAACGCCTGAAGGCTCATACGGCGTTTTTCCTCAGCACAGCAGTACTCGCGAGGGATCGCGAAAACTGGTTTTCATTCTGTCTGCTGCAATGGTGCAACATCTTAATCTGATTTTCGGGAAATTCGAACGGTAGCTCTTGTTGTCAGCCACAGCTCTCGAAAGGAAAATTGACGAACTTGTTAATTTCATCGAAAATTTCTGTAAAAATTGTTGAATTATTTAAATTAGGAAACTTCCTTTGGTCTGTAGCACGTAAAAATGTCACCTCGCTCTCTTGCAAATTCTTTGCACTCAATTTTTGTACATTTGACGTGCATTTTCAGTTCTGTTGTCGTATGGATTGCAGTTTGCTTTGCACTTCCTTTCAATTCAAACCATTTCTAGAAGTTAGGTATCGATTTTGTCGCTCTGTTTTTTCTTAAATTTTCTCGAACGAAGTGCAAAAATGTTACAGTAAGCGTACCGAACAACACTTTGAATTTTTGGATACGAAGTGACTCAGTCGCGGATAAGCGAGAGACACAGTCGTGGATAAGGGAGCGACGCAGCCACGGACGAGCGAATCAGGTAGTCGCGGATAAGCAAGTGACGCAAACGCGGATAACCGAGACTCACATGCGAATGAGGTAGTCTCTGACCAGAGAAAGACACAGTCGTGGATAAGCGAGTGACCCAGCCGCAGACGAGCTCATTAGGTAGTCGCGGATAAGCAAGTGACGCAGTCGCGGTTAAGTGAGAGACGCAGCCGGGGATGAAATGGTCTCGGACAAGCGAGCTACAGTCGTGGAAAAGCGAGTGACCCAGCCGCAGACGAGGTAATTAGGTAGTCGCGGATAAGCGATAGACGAAGTCGCGAATGAACAAGTGACGCAGACGCGGATAAAGCGAGAAACCCACGCGGATAAGATAGCCTCGGATTAGCGAGTGACGCAGACGCGGATAAGCGATAGACGAAGTCGCGAATGAACAAGTGACGCAGACGCGGATAAAGCGAGAAACCCACGCGGATAAGATAGCCTCGGATTAGCGAGAGACGCAGTCGCGGATAAGGGAGTGACCCAGCCGCCGATAAGGGAGTGATTTATGCCGCGGACGAGCAAATCAGGTAGTCGCGGATAAGCGAGTGACGCAAACGCGGATGAGGTAGTCTCGGACTAGTGAGAGACGATCATCGTGGATAAGCGAGTGACCTAGCCGCAGACGAGGTAATTAGGTAGTCTCGGGCAAGCGAAAGACGGAGTGGCAGATAAGCGAGTGACGCAGACGCGGATAAGGTAGTCTCGGATAAGCGAAAGACGCAGTCGTGGATAATGGAGTGACCCTGACCCAGCCGCGGACGAGCGAATCAGGTAGTCGCGGATAAGTGAGAGACGCAGACGTGGATACGCGAGTGACAAAGACGCGGATACGTAAGTGACGCAGACGCGGATAAGCGAGGGACCTAGCCGCTGACGAGCCAATCAGGTAGTCGCGGATAAGCGAGATATGGAGTGGTAGATAAGCGAGTGACGCAGACGTGGATAAGCGAGAGACGCAGACGTGGATACGCGAGTGACAAAGACGCGGATACGTAAGTGACGCAGACGCGGATAAGCGAGGAACCTAGCCGCTGACGAGCCAATCAGGTAGTCGCGGATAAGCGAGATATGGAGTGGTGGATGAGCGAGTGACGCAGTTGTGGTTAAGCGAGTGACGAAGACGCGGATACGTAAGTGAAGCAGACGCGGATAAGCGAGGGACCTAGCCGCTGACGTGCCAATCAGGTAGTCGCGGATGAGCGAGATATGGAGTGGTAGATAAGCGAGTGACGCAGTCGTGGCTAAGGGAGCAATCCAACCGTACGGACGAGCGAATCAAGTAATCGCGGATAAGCGAGTAGCACAGTCGCGGATAACGAGGAAAACTGTCGTGAAAGTTCAATCGCCGATTGGATTTCCGAATTGGAAGGCCCCACACATACTGCAATGAGTCTACGGAGCAGCCACGGCTGAGGTCTCCATTTTTGAGCAGGTGAGCCGTGGTTAGCTCGCCCAAGTTGAGATCAGTTGCAGGTTCGTGCAATGGCCTCATCGGGTGTAACGTAGCCGCGTTTATTTTCGAGGGTGATTTCGATGACGCTGCAGGTTCTGACTCACGATGACCGTCGCCGCCGCACAGTGGATCGAGTCGAAAAGAGAGGTCGGACAAAATTTGGAATCTTTAAACTTTTTTAACTCCGTAGTCCAGGCGCCTGGTAGCTAAAAATGAGGCTACCTGGAATTTTGGGTACACAGCGATTTTTTTGGCTTACTTCATGTTTT